TCAAAGTAATCTGAGCATTTGATGTGATTGACCAGCGGACTATTATAATTTTTCTGTCATGGCGGCGATAAACACCTTTTTCTGACACATTCACAACAGTAAATAAAACTTGTCATATGAAAACTTGTCATATAAAATTTGTTGCATATACACACGTGCATGCACTTGGCAAATAAAACTTGTCACATAAAAACTTGTCATAGAAAACTTGCTCGTCTGTAACCGGCTATAGTATTGAAATATAACTAACCTTTTTCACTTGTGGTTTATTCCTGTCCACGGCAAAATACGCACAAATCTCGCGATCAAAAATATCCAGTTGATCTTTGATTTTGTCAGGATATTTGCAAACACATTCCAGTTGCACCGAGTGAAATTCCTTATAACTACATAAAAATAGTATATGAGATTAAAAAAATACTAAAAATACGAGAAAGGCTACTATTACTGTAAGAAGAGTATCTTTTGTATGTTACGTAACACGCGCTCAAAACTAATGAATATACTTTACCACTTGCCATTTGGGACATTTGGTTATGACTATATTCAAATTTTTAAATTTTTGATACATTTCTCAAACGGCAAACAAACTTAAAAAGTACGTTTAGTGCTTTATCTGTAGAATTATACTAAAATGAAGAGATTTTAGATGGGATGTCAAAGAGAAAATGATGTCTGAAGTTCAGTAAGTTTTGTTCATATTGCTGTGTAAATATATGGCGTCAATAGACCTTATGCATAATGACGTCACAAGGCTTGACGCCCGCGAGGAATGCTGGTCTCAGTAGTCATCGCCCGGGAAAATTAAACAATCCAAAATGGCCACTATCGAAATTTTCCCGGGCGATGACTATCATGACTACTAAGACCAGTATTCCTCGCGGGCAACAACCCTTGTGACGTCATTATGCATAAGGTCTAATGACAATTTTACAGCATCAACGATAATTGTATTTAAGTTGACAATGTTTAACTACTATTGCACTTATTCAGCTACCGGTAATTCAAAGACTTTCAGGAATTCTTATTACTAATTCTTATTCTAACGTATCAACTGTCATTACTAAACTCAATAATTCCTGAGGAAAAGACAAAGGAAACCACTTTGTCATTATTCGTGAGACATATGTATCGATAAAATTATGTCAATTTACATAAACTTTAGCTTTGATTTTCTCGGCTTAGACAACGTTGATTTTTACAACTACTTCGCCAATGAACTCATTTGAAACACTCGCAGTCCGTGCTTTATCAGATATAAGACACTTGGCTGTCGCCTCGTGTTTATATCTGATAAAGCACTCCTGCTCGTGGTTTAAATAGTACTTCAAACACGTGAACAATAACCCTATACATACCCTTCTTGTATTTCTTCCAAGAGAGAGCACGCTTGGGCAAGACTCTGCTCTAAAGTCTGTAAAGAAATTTTATTGATTTCAGTTAAAAAAATTTGTAGTTTATAGTTTACACTTGCACTGGACCATTTGCATTATACACTAAATGTTTATCTAAAGCTTGAAAGAGCATCACAAAATTAGTAATATTCCCGAAGTTTCGTTGCGAAATGTTGTAAAATACGGATAATATAGCCTTGCGAAGTTTGCCGTTTTTCAGTCATTTTCTATTACAAACGGGAAATTGACAGCCCCAAAAGGTATTGGGCTGTCAATTTCCCCCCGCGTAATGCAAAATGACTGAAAAATGGCAAACTTCGCAAGGCTATATTATTCGTATTTTACAACATTTCGCAACGAAACTTTGGAATATTACTAATTTTGTGATGCTCTTTCAAGCTGTGATGAAATTGTTGTCTAGACTTGTTTAGATCAAAATTTAGACTATAATGCAAATGGTCCATTTTTGCTGCAATAGTGCGATTTTCTTCTTCTGATGGATGTGAACGAGTAAATAAGTGATGAATGTTCTGAGTGTATGTTTCACTGATGTACCCTCACCTGAACATTCGTAACTCATCTACTCGTTCACATCCATCAGAAGAAGAGAATCGCACCTAAAATCTCAGCAGAGATTGCAAGTGTAAACAGGCCTTAATATAAGTTTCATGATTTATCTTATACCTGCTGGCTTGATTCCTGCCTCATTTTATCCATGACAATGTCAAGATTTGCTTCTTTGACCTAGAAAACGTATTATAGTTGGTATAACGTTTGTCAGATAAGACTTGAGGACAACTGGCAAGAATTGTTGTGGTATCATTGTCTTCTATAGCCATGTTTCCCAAACGTGGACAGTTGGTCAATAATTACCTGATTTGCTCCATCATGACGATGTCGCCCTCCCTCTAAATCCTCCTAGAAAATCAAGGTAAAGAAGGACACATTACAACATAGCGTGGTTTAGAATAGCAGCCGGCATTTGCACTATAGCCAGTGACTTTTAAATCTGACGATTTCTCTGTAATCCGTTGATCTACAGTATACAATGAATTTACAGGTTTTTAATTAACAAGATTGTCTGACATAACTGAATTCGAGTTAGTGGGATTCTATTGTATGATATCCTAAGGTATAGCACGATACTCTAAGATATTTTGTATGATATCCTAAGATACTGAATGATATCCTAAGATGTTGTATGATATCCTAAGATACTGAATGATATCCTAAGATGTTGTATGATACTCTATGATATCCTAGACTATAATCTTAATAGTCATGACTATAGTCTTAATAGTCATGACTATAGTCTTAATAGTCATGACTATTAAGACCATAGTCATGACTATTAAGACCATAGTCATGACTATTAAGACTATAGTTAAGACTATTAAGACCATAGTCATGACTATTAAGACCATAGTCTTGATTATTAAGACCATAGTCTTGATTATTAAGACGATAGTCATGACTATTAAGACCATAGTCATGACTATTAAAACTATAGTTAAGACTATTAAGACCATAGTCATTACTATTAAGACTATAGTCTTGACTATTAAGACTATAGTTAAGACTATAGTCATGACTATTAAGACCATAGTCATGACTATTAAGACCATAATCTTGACTATTAAGACTATAGTTAAGACTATAGTCATGACTATTAAGACTATAGTTAAGACCATAGTCATGACTATTAAGACCATAGTCATGACTATTAAGACTATAGTCATGACTAGTAGTATGTTTGGTGCCAGCAAAGTAGCTACAGTACCTGTAGTGCTCGTTCCTGTCTCGCCACTCCAATTTCGTGCGTATCCCAGATATGTGCTGCACCTTGGACAAACTTGAATAAGGAACGGACCAAACCGTCTTGGAAAATTGTTATGTTTTCGATCGTTCTCTACAAAAATACCAAAATCTAAGCTACAGTGAAGTTTAGACCAACAAATACGAATACATTTATTATTGACAGGTTGAGCCAGGGGTGAAACTACTGTGCGTACAGTGGTGGCGGTGGGGGGTCTTCTTTCGCATAATAATATCATAAAAAATAAATCCATAAAAAATTTCATCTGAGACAGTTAATTGTTCCAGTTCAATGGGTAATTTCCCAACAGTAACTTTCTGAGACTTTGACTGTAATTTTCTGAAACTTTCTTCGTTCTACATATAATGATGGTCTCTATCTCGTCGGGTATATCCATACAATTTTGTCGGGCGAATTTTGAAAATATTTGAGAGTTAGTGAAAAATGCTATGTCCAGATATTTTTTACGCTCACCAACAATTTGGGAAAAGAGATATTATTGGCCGACGACTTTGGCCACGCTCTTTTTGTCGGGCAAAACAAGCTCACCCCCCCCCCGGCCGTAATACCGACGTTTCGCCCCTGCTTTGAGCCCCGGTTAAACGAGGATGAGAGTTGATGAGAGTTGGCAGTCACGCATTATTGCTGGGGACAAGCTCTAGATTAACAAAATATCATGAGGTTTGATGAGTGTTAGAATATATGATAGTGTTGGGAAATCTGAGTAAGAACAGCTAACCATCTCATCCTCGTTTTTGAAAAATATCGATCATCCACAGTTTCACACAATTGCGTTATTTTCTAAACTAATTAAGTACCTCGAATATGTCCATTTCACATTCGTAGCGTGTCTGTTTCTCTCCAATCACAGGCAAGAAAGACTCATTTAAGATCTAAGTTAGAGAATTTGAGCATTATTAATAAGTGTTTTTAACATAGTGCTAAACACGTCTTTTTGTGCACATGAAAGAATGACATGAAATCGAGACTATAGTATTGCAGTAGAGAAACAACTTAACCTAAACTTACAATGAGGTTATATTTCGTGTCGATCAAATTGTACTTTGTTCAAAATAACTAAATGAACATACCGCGTTAAGTTCCTCTCCGTCAATTATATTTTCGCTTTCCAATTGGCTCTGAAAGTAGGGAAATAACATTAGAGACACCTAATGGACCATTTGCATTATAGACTAAATTTTGATCTAGACAAAAATTTCATCACAGTTTGAAAGAGCATCACAAAATTAGTAATATTCCAAAGTTTCGTTGCGAAATGTTGTAAAATGCGGATAATATAGCCATGCGAAGTTTGCCGTTTTTCAGTCATTTTGTATTACGCACGGGAAATGGACAGCCCAATCGGGTGTTGGGGCATCAATTTCCCGTTTGTAATACAAAATGAGTGAAAATTGCAAATTTCGCAGGGCTATATTATCCGCATTTTAAAACATTTCGCAACGAAACTTTGGAATATTACTAATTTTGTGATGCTCTTTCAAGCTGTGATGAAATTGTTGTCTAGATCAAAATTTAGTCTATAATGCAAATGGTCCATTGAAGTTTAATTTAATTTAAGATTAATTTCTTGAATATTTTGGCCCCCTCACTCGATTGTTTATTTGCTTGTTTATCGAGTTTCACACTCACTGATGATTTCCCAACAGGCTATTGCCCAATTTTGATAGGCGATCCGAGGTACCTACGACTTTAACGTCCGTATCCCAGAAGACGCGAATGTCCAACCATTTAACAATTAGACAACGAAGCCGAGTCGTCTATGAGCGCATAGTCAACGAGCCATAGTGGAAAGTTGGGCACTTTAACGGGAGATCTCCTGCGGCAGGCAAAGGTAAAAAACTGCTGATGCGGCAAAATCTTGCGGCAGAAAAAACTGTAAAATTGATAGTGCGGCAGAAATAGTTTAGAAAATTCTTGGGGCACAATTTGGATGACACGTCAGTGGTGTGTTGTATCAACACATCTTAAGATGTATTAGTTATTCGACAAAAAAGCTGTGTTGACTTTAATAGCACATCTTTTATTAAGAGTGAAGGCTTCAATGTTTATTGTTTAGTGGTCAGCAGTATTGCGTGTAGTTGTTTGAATTTTTTACCTGCGGCAGCATATTATTGCATATGGCATTGCGGCAGGATAGAATGCATGGTCTTGTCAACTGCGGCAGTCTCCTGCGGCAGCCAAAGCGTACTTTCCACTATGGTCAACGAGGCGAAGCCGAGTATTCGCCCCTCGGCCTTGTTGACAACTACTCAGAGTTGGAACTCCCAAGAATGACTTTAAAAATACTATTTGTGAGTTTTAAAAAAGTTAAAAAACATGTCGTAAAACAGTATAATAGCAAGGGGTCGTTATACAAGCAAAGTTTGGCTAATTATAAAAGAAGGAAACAAGGCTTAAAATGTCCAAAATTTGAAACACAGAATGGCTTCCCGAATTGTTACTAAATAATGTTTACGTTAAAAAGCAGAATAAAAATGCACGCAAAGGAACACGAATGTCGTTAAAATCTGTAAAATATCTGGAAAAATAAAGAGGCAAACCATTTCCATCATCTAGTATACATATTCAAAACTTTAGATTAAAATGTAATCGAGAAACTCGATTAAAAAGGCGAAAAACAAACTCGACCAAAATCTCGACATTTAAACGAAAAAAACTTTTAAATTTTACCGTATGTGTCAGCAGTTTCCAAAAGTCTTTGTTTGTGTGTAATCCAAAATCAAAATTAGGCCATTTTGATAAGCATTTTCTCTTTAATTGAAGCTTTTAATACTTAAAAACGGCAATTGACTCTCGCACCCTTTGCCGCTTGTTGCTACTAGTAGGCTATCACTAATAGCCTACTAGTAGCGTAGCCAATCAGAACGCACGAAATATGATAGCCTACTAGTAGGTTTATACTAATTACCGATGTCCATGTAAAGTTATCACTTTCTTCTCAATTATTTTAAGACCTTGAGTGGAGGTCCGACCATGGCTTGAACCCGGGTCTCCCAGCTCCCATTCTCAAACTCATTAATAATTCATGAAGGAAATTTTAAAGAAATGCATATTAATTCTGTATTTAGAAATAAGAGGAAGATTACAGCCGTTTTTCGTCAACTTTAAACTCGATTTTCTCTTAAAGTATTGATTCGTTTGAGCAGCTATATCCAACACGAGTAAGTGCTCTTCCTCTGATTTCTAAATACAGACAAGCTGGTTAACAAAACTCGGCTTCGCCTCGTATTTTCAACCTGCTTGCCTGTATTTGGAAGTCAGAGAAAGAACACTTGCTCTTAAAGGTGACATGACACGAAATTTTTTATTGGCCCATCGGAAAGAATCGTCAAAACTGTAAATCGGTCGACGGGGGAGGGGATAAATTAAAATGTTCTTGTCCGGAAATAATTTTTTTCCAATTGAGTTTGTCGGAAAAATACTGCCCTTGCCCCCCCCCCCCAAAAAAAAAAACCCAACAAAAAAAACATGGGACCCACGACAGAAATTGCTAGATAGTATACTTCAAAATAAGGTTTCTGTTTTTATATCAATTTTTGAAATAAGTTAGGGTTAGGTTAGGGTTAGGGTTAAGGTTAGTATTAGGGTTAGGGTTTAGTCTTGCGTTAGGATGGTTTTTTCTACGTTATAAAAACGGAAACCTTACTTTGAAGTATACTATCTAGCAATTACCGACCCACGACGCCCCTGGAGCAGCTATGAAAAATGAACCTACTACACTTAATGATATATGACTGTATAGTTCCAACCTTTGTCTTTTCCACTCTTTCGTAGCAATGTTCTATCACTTTGTCATATGCATCCTGTACATATTCTCTGTACTTCTTGTTTGTTTTTTCTATAGAACGAAAATCGTTGGCAACTTCACACAAAAATAAAATTTTGCTACATTTTTATTTCACTTCTTCTATTTGGCTAACCTAATATAAGCATAACATGATTACGTTACAACGATTAAATATGTTATTAAAATAATCATTAAAAATTCATAAACCTTGTGGAAAATGTCAGCCATATAACATGTCACGTGGAGTGACTTTATATCTGATAAAACTCATCTTCATTAGTATTCTTAGTATAATTGTTCATCCTAATTAGTTCATCATAATTCGTATTCTTTTGTAGTCGTATTTTAAGCTATACAAAACACTTGAACTCGCGTTTTATCATATCTAAAACGCTTGGCTGCGCCTCGGCGCGTTTTAAATCTGATAAAACACTCCTTCTCGTGTTTTACATACTACTTAGAAATTATTTGAAATGACGTATGTAGCCGCAAGCTTACCAAGTTGATCGGTGACATGCCCCAGAGCATTATTCCATTGATAGACTGCAGCTTTGGTCGACCCCGGTGGCTTCATGTCTCTGTGTACAAAGTAAATTGTATAGAATGACAAAATACACTAACTCAACTAACTTTACTCGGTTTGCTACCTCTATCAGGTCTAAACACAGATCAGTGGAATCAGTAAGTAAGAAACATCGCTAAGCAAAGAAAATCTGTGGCATTTGTAGGGCTTTAGGTCAAACCCATTACCATCAGGGAGCAGCCGGAAATTTTTTCAAATCAAAATCAAATCAAATCAAATCAAATTTATTTCCGTAGGGTATAACTTCTTCAGTAATATATCACTGGTATCAATGAGGGCCCTTTTAGGGTCGGTATTTTTTAGGCTATTTCATGCATTTTAGACACGTTTAATGATAATTTGAAAGTCACAGATTTGGTATATTTTATGTCATAGATGAAAACGTTAAGAGGTTACCCCCCCCCCCCCGGTTTCTCCTTAGTTTTGAAATCCATCCAGTCAGGCGGAGGTGAAAAGAACCAATATGCTGACTGCTGAGGTTATTAAGTTCGATAATCAAATTGACATTTTTTTTTCATACCTTAAAGAGTTCAACAACCCTAATCGTTTTGTACTCAGGGCATTCTGTTTCTCTCTCATTTCGTCCAAACATCGCAACACTCCCGGAGGCTGTCGTATCTCCGTACTGTTCATGAAGTCACTAAAAACCCCCAATAATTTCTATGTTAAATGGTCAAGCATAATTTACATGTTTCTGTCGCGAGTTCTGTTATGCAACTGCCTGGAAAACGGATTAAAAATACGAGAGATTAAAAATACCCTGACGTCTTTGGCAAAGGCATACTAGCACTCAAAATCCACTTCGTTGCGTTACTGCTTATATACCGGGTGTCCCAAAAAAAAGTACTCCGGTTTGATTTATAATAACTTCTAAACAAGTAAAGCTATCAAACAGAAATAACTTGCATTAAATAGAGGAAGGGCTAACTTAGATTTTGATATATTACAGTTGTATTTTACTTAAAAATTCACGGAGATATTAATGTTCAAAATCGGGAGCATATTTTGGGATGTGTCTAAAATTGGCGAAAATCGACATATCAAATATTAACTCCAGCGTTTGTTTGCTTAATGGCATATCAGGCTAACTTGTATTTCAGCGAATTGTCGTTAGGGTTTGTAAGGGATATGGCGTAGATTTAGACATCTTACATGTAAGTCTTAGCTCATTGTTTCCTGAAATATGAACGCTCGAAATTATGCAAGTATTTAATAGGTCTTTACAAACTTAAAGGTACATAAAGACCATGCAAGGCAGACGCTTAAATTTTTCTTAAATAGCCTATTTTTTTTATGTTTTTCATGGGTTCAAAACAGAGTTGATTATTTCTCGGTTAGAGCAGGATGAATATTATTCTTTAATGAAGGTAATAATATTGCTTTTTGCAAATACACATGCATCACAGTATCAACGCTACTATTTTGTTATACGTTTTGTTCCAAAAATGTCGGATGTCTCTGGGGAGTTGCTTGTTATGTCTTATGGTTTGATTGTGTTTCATTCTCAGTTTATTCTGAACTTGCCAAGATTAAGAAAAGGCAAAAGAGTTTAGGTGTTCTTAACAAGATTTCAGAACACTGCAGAAGTTAGAAGAGCTTCACAATTCCATTGTGACAGCATGCCCTAATTCTGAACTACGAACGATCCATGACGATCCTTCGCAATGCAGTGGTCTCATGAAATAAGGAAACGTATATATATTCGTGCTAGGAACACATGTGGATTTCGGACGAATAAATCTTGTTTGTATTTTGTAGATAATAATACTTTGTTTCATAATAAACAATTTGTCAAGTGTCATTTATTTACTGGTAATAGTGCATATTTCAGTTGGGAAAATCTTGATTAATATTTGATACGCCGTTTTTTGCATATTTCAGACACATCCAGAAATATGCTCCCGATTTTAAACATTAATATCTCCGAGAATTTTTAAGTGAAATACAACTGTAATATATCAAAATCTAAGTTAGTCCTTCCTCTATTTGATGCAAGTTATTTCTCGTTAAAAGCTTTACTTGTTTAGAAGTTATTAGGAATCAAACCGGAGTACTTTTTTTTGGGACACCCGGTAGAATTAAGGTTAGGAAACTCAATGCGGACATAATAGACCTCATTATCTATGTTTTTGCCTTGGTTTATGCAAGAAACGGTCGGTTCATCGTCATGTGTGTGTATTAGCTTTTCTCAACAGAGATCATAGTGCATTCTGGGATCGTTTGCAGGGACAAAATATATGGTGACAGGCGTCAAATATGTGAAGAAAAATGAAATATCTCATTTTTACATTAAAGATTTAATTTAAATGTGTGCTGCCACATTTCTTGTCCCTCCTCGACAGCTTGTGAACAGACTTGTTACAACTTGTTTGCAGATCCTGTAATACGTTTTTACGTGTCTAAACCAAGACAAAAACATAGATACCGGTAATGAGGTCTGCATCGAGTTTCCCAACTTTCTCATTCTATTGACTAAATGTACTGCTGTTATACACGTTAATATATTGTATGTAATCTTTTCCACATACACAAATCCCTGCACAGCTTCTTTGCTCTTTAATTGTTTCCAAGATTTTACACGTGTTTCCCATATATGGTAATATTTTCTTTCCAATTCAACTGCGCCTAATAACGAGGCAACGAAAACATTGGATAAACGTTGATTTAATTATAGCAACGCTATACTATTAAAGTTGCTTATTAGTAATTTAACCACAAACGTATCTAACACCAAATACACTCGCTTTCGTGATTGAGACGTCGGAATTCAACCAATGTCACACATACGAGGATCTATAGCCAAAATGACGCACTTTCCGAAAGCGTGTATTGTCTCGTAGGAACTACAATTCACCCTTTGGTAAATTAATCTGCCTAATATTTTTTTCTTACCAACCATTGTTTAGTTTATTTCCCCACCTCTTTCTGGAGAGCCCCCCCCCCTGCATAAGGTTTCAATTACAAATCACGCTTAAAAGTTGATTTCCTCCGACCTGGGAAGCACCCCCTCCCCTCCTCTTACACCCCCCCCCCCCCAGGGGCGGACAAAATAGGCGAGCTTAACACCCATGTCCCACTATGGGTACAACAACGTACATATGGTTGACAGACATTATTCCTTGAATTTAAAACCATGGTCAGCTAGAATACTATACGTTTATGCACATGCAGATTTAGCACAAAAATACTCCGTTGGTCTGCAGGATATTTTCGTCTCCAGGTTGTGCTCCCAGGAAGGAAATTCTTTTTTCCTGCCCTGCTCCCTACCCCCTTACCCTGTAACTAACCTTTGTGTAACGTGGTAACAAGGTCTGCGTAAGCTTTGCGATTACATATCATTGTTGAGTTGATTTCGTCAGCTTCTTTTTCCATCATACGGTGAACATCGGACGACATTAGATAAGCGATGTTTACAAATGTCGAAATGAAATTTTTAAACGTTTCACAAACCTATACATACCAACAAACGAGAATTTGTGTCTCACTGCTATATACATATATAAATATAACCATTTTTAGGCCCCGTTTGTATAACCCGGACGATTACGTCTGTGATAGGCTACTAGTATAAATACAGTTATGTTAGTTTAGGTTTGCTCCTCGATCATGTATAGGTGGGTTTCACTCAAGTCTAATACATATTGCCGCTTTATGCCTTGTGTAAGCAAGTACACTTCGTTAAATTGCATATATTTCATACCAAACACAAGATCAATACTTATAATGAATATTTAACTCGATCCGATAAATGTGTTTCCAACGTATGACGTGGCTGAAGCCCAGCTATAGAAGACTGGATCATTGAGGGTGTCCCTTATCTTATACACACGTAAGAATCTCTCAACATATCAACAAGATGTGTTCGCAACAGGCTTGTAGCAAGCTTGTCAACAAGTTGTAACAATGCTGTTATTTGATCAAATTGCTACAAGATTGTCACTCACAATTTGTTGACAAGTTGTTGAATTGCAAGTTGTTGGAACAACTTGTGACAAGTCTGTTGAGTTCAACTACCTTGCAGCAAGCTAGTTGCCATCAAGCCGTTGACAACTTGTCAACAAGCTGGGAACAAACAGTGCGAACACATGCTGTTGACAAGTTGTTGGAACAGCATTGCTACAACCCTGCATGCTGCAGGTTTGTTACAACTTGTGCGTTTTTACGCGTGTGTACTTTGAAGAACAATAAGTTTAGAACTGATGATAAAGTTTAGTAATTATATACCATTGTATAGCGATCTTGCTCAATAGTTTCAAACGTCTTGGCGAGGTCGATAATGTACACTTGTCTATTAGAAGATATTTCAGCAATACACTGCCAAAGTTTGTACAGGTCCTCCAGAGAGTATTTCAATAAATCCTGAAAAGATACATATTAGGTTATTACAGTATATCAGTTTGAAAATATCTGTTGGACAGTAGACTTAAAACCAGTCCCCAACACCAAAAAAATTGTTTGAAAAATTCTAAAATTTTATAACCGAAATTTTAAACGTCATTCTATTCTTCTGCTAAGAAAGTTAATTTAAAAGAAACCAGCTACCTTGTCATCGCTAAAGAGTTGCACGACTTTTGAGAGCTCTAGAAAACAAAAGCGGATCGGTTACTGAAGTAGTTAATGCACCCTCGATTTACTCTGTGGTCGTTTTAGGAGCCGTTCACGCTAGCGAATCAGATCGATCATTACCCATTAAGCAACAATGTGCCCTAATACACCCTTTTTTATTTTAAAATGTAAAATTAATCCACACTTAATTTCTATCTTATTTATTGCTAATGGAAATGAGAAACTTGTACGAAACTTACGAAATATGTATGGCAAAACAACAAACATATAGCTATATACCTTCGTTATTTGCAGCAAAACCATCCCTTAAAATCTCACTCGACTCGGCAATGCGTGGTTCAAGCTCCTGAAAGTATAAAACAAACTTTAGTGATATAATTCTAAACTTTGGTTTGTGGAAACACTACGTATAATTATTATTGCAGTTATTTTAAAATGCAGTTATTTAAGGCTGATTTACACCAACAAAGTTTCTGTGATCACAGTAGGAATTTTGCATAGGTAAATTCTAAGTTTTGAAGGATTTGTAAGAAATGTTTGAGGAAACTTACTGAGTGTTATAAAGGATGGTTTACACTATCAAAGTTTCTGTGATCACAGTAGGAATTTTGCATGGGTAAATTCTAAGTTTTAAAGGATTTGTAAGAAATGTTTGAGGAAACTTACTGAGTGTTATAAAGGATGGTTTACACTATCAAAGTTTCTGTGATCACAGTAGGAATTTTGCATAGGTAAATTCTAAGTTTTGAAGGATTTGTAAGAAATGTTTGAGGAAACTTACTGAGTGTTATAAAGGATGGTTTACACTATCAAAGTTTCTGTGATCACAGTAGGAATTTTGCATAAGTAAATTCTAAGTTTTGAAGAATTTGTAAGAAATGTTTGAGGAAACTTACTGAGTGTTGTAAAGGATGGTTTACACTATCAAAGTTTCTGTGATCACAGTAGGAATTTTGCATAGGTAAATTCTAAGTTTTGAAGGATTTGTAAGAAATGTTTGA